CTGGTGACGAATCTGAGACAGTTTACACCAAGCTCGGGTAACAGATCTGAGTCACGTTCCCCTCGGGAGGCGTGTTGGTGTATAGGGTGTACTTAGGATCTGTTCCTCTTAGGTAGCATGATTCATGTTCATGTACCGCAGCCCTTTTGGTTTACCTTTGAAGCAGAGCGCTGAGAAGAAAAGGTGCGCTAGGCTGCATCGAACTAGGGAGCCCAAATTTCCGTTGCAAGTTTCTGGGTGAAGAGTCTCTGGGTGAAAAGTATATGGGCGAAAAGTATGTGCAAGATAAGTTTCTGGGTGAAGAGTTTCTGGTAAAAAGTATATGGGTGAAAAGTATGTGCAAGAAGAGTTTCTGGGTGAAGAGTCTCTGGGTGAAGAGTCTCTGGGTGAAAAGTATGTGCAAGAAGAGTTTCCGGGTGAAGAGTTTCTGGGTGAAGAGTCTCTGTGTGAAAAGTATGTGCAAGAAGAGTTTCTGGGTGGAAGAGTCTGTGAAGAAGAGTTTCTATGGGTGAAGAGTTTCTGGGTGAAGAGTCTCCGGGTGAAAAGTATATGGGTGAAAAGTATGTGCAAGAAGAGTTTCTGGGTGAAGAGTCTCTGGGTGAAAAGTATATGGGTGAAAAGTATGTGCAAGAAGAGTTTCTGGGTGAAGAGTCTCTGGGTGAAAAGTATATGGGTGAAAAGTATGTGCAAGAAGAGTTTCTGGGTGAAGAGTTTCTGGGTGAAGAGTCTCTGGGTGAAAAGTCTGTGCGAGAAGAGTTTCTGGTTGAAGAGTCTCTGGGTGAAAAGTATATGGGCGAAAAGTACGTGCAAGAAGAGTTTCTGGGTGAAGAGTCTCTGGGTGAAAAGTATATGGGTGAAAAGTATGTGCAAGAAAAGTTTCTGGGTGAAAGTATATGGGTGAAAAATATGTGCAAGAAAAGTTTCTAGGTGAAGAGTCTCTGGGTGAAAAGTATATTGGTGAAAAGTATGTGCAAAAAGAGTTTCTGGGTGAAGAGTCTCTGGGTGAAAAGTATATGGGTGAAAAGTATGTGCAAGAAGAGTTTCTGGGTGAAGAGTCTCTGGGTGAAGAGTCTCTGGATGGAAAGTATGTGCAAGAAGAGGGTGAAAAGTATATGGGCGAAAAGTATGTGCAAGAAGAGTTTCTGGGTGAAGAGTCTCTGGGTGAAAAGGATGTGCAAGAAGAGTTTCTGGGTGAAGAGTCTCTGGGTGAAAAGTATATGGGTGAAAAGTATGTGCAAGAAGAGTTTCTCGGTGAAGAGTTTCTGGGTGAAACGGTGAAACGTATATGGGTGAAAAGTATGTGCAAGAAGAGTTTCTGGGTGAAGAGTCTCTGGGTGAAAATTATATGGGCGAAAAGTATGTGCAAGAAGAGTTTCTGGGTGAAGAGTTTCTGGGTGAAGAGTCTCTGGGTGAAAAGTATATGGATGAAAAGTCTGTGCGAGAAGAGTTTCTGGGTGAAGAGTCTCTGGGTGAAAAGTATGTGCAAGAAGAGTTTCTGGGTGAAGAGTTTCTCGGTGAAAAGTAATGGGTGAAAAGTATGTACAAGAAGATGCAAGAAGAGTTTCTGGGTGAAGGGTTTCTGGGTGAAGAGTCTCAGGGTGAAAAGTATATGTGTGAAAAGTATGTGCAAGAAGAGTTTCTGGGTGAAGAGTCTCTGGGTGAAAATTATATGGGTGAAAAGTATGTGCAAGAAGAGTTTCTGGGTGAAGAGTCTCTGGGTGAAAAGTATATGGGTGAAAAGTATGTGCAAGAAGAGTTTCTGGGTGAAGAGTCTCTGGGTGAAAAGTATATGGGTGAAAAGTATGTGCAAGAAGAGTTTCTGGGTGAAAAGTATATTGGGGGAAAAGTCAGTGGGTGAAAAATCATTGGGGGAAAATAGGGTTAGACGGGATGCTGGCTTTCGTGCCCCGCTGTTTCTCAGGTCATGCTATGCACAAATCAGTTTTTTGATAGTAAGGCATCCCGCTTTTTAACGTATGCAGCAAGCTATTGAGCCTGGCCGCAATCTACAGCCAAGAGACTGGTACCATGTCTTGAGGCAATTCATCAGGAGATTTTGCAATGGACAATGAAGCTGTTGTAACATCCCTCGTCCATCCGGTTTGTGATTCACAGTTCTTGTTGTGAAGGGTTTTCTTTTAAGTGGTTGGCCTCGTTGTGGTTTCCCATGGTTTCCAACGGATTACCTATTTTCCTTGAAGACTTGAACTGGAAGCTCTGTGCTTCGAGGTAAGACGCTGTCCATCCAGTCTGGCGATTCCTTGGTTGAACAGTCTGACGATTAACGATTTAGCGCTCGTGGGTGAAGGCTTGGCAACGCGGCTGTGGTAAATGGCCCGCTCATTGGTGAAGTGGCCCAATGAATGCTACCTCAGCCTAAGCCCTTTGGAGCGTAAGGTCACGTTTGAGAGCTGATCATTGAGTCCAGAGATTCATTGGGGTCGGCTGTCAACTAGCAAGATTCAGGTAGCCTGTGGTATACGAAACAATACCATTGCAGATGAGGTTGACAAGAAGTTCAATTTATACAGGCCTACCAAAGTCTATTTTCGTCTCAAACTGTAACCTCTTGCATAGCCAAATCAAGCTGAAGCGCTCTTGGAAAATGACCTGCTTCAAAGCATTTCCGTGACTCTCAGAAAGCACTCGAACGAAGATCCAGCACTTTAATTCGGTTTTCCTCTCTTGTTATCAACAGCGCTAAGGTACCTTGAATTTAAAATACCTTGCCGCATTTGGTATAGACTTTTCACAGCAGCCAGCACAGTCGAAGCCAGTTAAGGATGAAGGCAGACGGTACAGACGGTGCTTCAACAATAGCACCTAAACTAAACTAAATTCCTTGTGGCCGCTTGCAGAAAAGAAGCGACAGCTGCTGGAATAATTTGTTTCCTGCACCGTGTTCAAGCACAGCCATTGCATATGAATTTGTAAAGACAAATCAAAACAGCTGAGAATATGAAGGGCAATTTTAAACATTCAAACAAATGAAGTCTGTTTTATTCCTTGCAGAAGAAATCTGCACAAATTCAATCAACTAGTCCGACTAGTCCCACTTTTGTGCTTTGGCCCTTAGTCGCTGTGGCGGGGTTCACTATGGTGGAGTTTAGTCCGAAATTGTCCACAAGATGGATGAAACAGAATTTACACAACCATAGTTTTACCATCACCAAAAATTTACCCGTTCTATAATTTTTCAGGACGCCCTTTGGGGTCCGTGTTTGCCACAAAAAGGCAGTTGAATGCACGAACCATGTAAGGAGGCAATGGAAAGGGAAAGGGAGGACGGGAACAAAAGATGCGAGGAGAAAGAGATATCAAGAGAACAATCGAAAAAGAAAAGATTTCAACCGACCGAAATGTCAACGGAAAGGGACGCTAGGAAAGCTGACGCAGACAAGCGCTTTGGAAGGCAGATGGCCGCATTGCGTTCCTATACGTTCACCCCTTTGTTCTATAGGTATCCTGGTTTTTGGAAACTTCCGCCACCCGGCTTGCCCTGGCTCTATAGTGACGGACTGAAACTTAGAATGCCGGGCGCCTCTAGCTCGCGCACTCCTAAAGAATGCCGCCGCGGGAGCAAAATCTTAAAAAACCCTGGTAAAATGCCATTTTCAACTACCGGCTATTCGAGCTGGATTTTTTACAATGAATCGTTCGTAGGTAAAATTTGTGAGAATTTACAGGGTAATATGAGATTGAGTGCCACACATAGACTGCCTCCGGCCAAAAAGCCCAGCTCGCAGCATGTCAAACATTTGAACCCAATATTTTCAAAAATACTCGGTATACGCGGGATTTTATGTACTTTGTGCAGCCCACATAGAATGCTGCCAAGAACATATACAAATGTCATCATTGTGTTGCAAAATATTGTTTTGCAGTAGAATGCCGCCAAAAACATATACAAATGTCAGCATTCTGTTGCAAAACCTCCGTTTTTTTAATGAAAAACATGGTTTGAAGGATTGTATAAATTTATTATTTCATATGAATAATTCTATATAAATCCAATCTCATGAGAGGGCATCGTGCCGACCATGAATATATAACCCTCACTATATATATATAAATTGATAAATAAAATATAAAATAAATAAATAAATAAACTAAATAAATAAATGCCTTGGATGTTCACCACACTGTGTACGATTCAAGCTGTCGGGTCAAGACCCCCATGTTCAGGCGACCGTTAGCACTAGGAGCGGCAGGGGGATCCCTCTCTTCTTTGGCTTTGCGTCTTCTGACTGAATCTGTCTCCTCGGTCGTTGATCCCAGCCTTCCTGTTCCACTTCCTGACTTGAGCTGCGCTTGTCCTACTTCTTTGGATTTGCCTGCTACTGGACTTGACCTCCGTTCTCTGTTGATTGGTCTGGTAGTTGGACTTTCCTTGGGACCGTTGCTTGAATTGCTCCTTGTGGTTCGGCACTGGTGGACTTCCTTGATTCGTCGTCAGCTGCAATCCCTTGCCCGTGGCCTACGTCCCTTGTACCGTGAACTGTGACTTGTATGGCCCAGAGAGCTGCTCAACTCCGTCTTGAGGAGTCTGTTAATTCTCTACTTGCCCGGGTTGAGCAATTGGAATTGCGCGTTGCTGAGTTGGAATCTTTGCAAGAGTTTGAGGTGATCCGAGAAGAGCCCGCACGACCCAGTGCCTCTGGGTACCGTTCCAATTCTTCTCCACCTGTCATTAGCGAGGAGTGACGTGTCATTTTGGAGCGGATTGGACATTGGTTGCGTTCTTGTCTCAACGACGAACGTCGTGGTCTGTCTGGTCGTGAATTGCTGCCTGAGGGAAACCGGTACTACTTGGTCTTGCGTGCCTTCAGTGGTGAGGTTTTTGATCCCGTCCTGGTTTTTGATTCCTTGAGCCAAATCGTTCCAATTGTGAAGCCCCTGGGGCATCCTGGTGATTCTGTGTTCATTGGACTTCCCAATTTGCAAGACGGGCGTGTGATTTGCGAAGCAGCCAGGCTGTAGTGGCCTTCCAACAGGCAGTGATGCCAGCCGTTCCTCCTCTGGACGCAGCCCCAGAGGAAGAAGAAGAAGAAGAAGAAGAGAGAGGTTCGGGTTCTGAGGCAGCGGGTGAGCCGGGGTTTTTCAATCCTCAGGAACATTTTGTTGTCACTCCCAACGGTTCTCCTACCTACAATTATTCTGTTTTGAATTTGACTGTGCCTGTTTCCGGGAATCCTGCCTTGGCCGTTCCCACTGTAGTGATTACTGAGATTGAGCAACAGCTGTTGATTGCCATTCCGAGCAAGTATTGGCACCGAACGGTAGCCAGTCGCCTTTTGCCTCCTAAAGCCATAAACAAAGCCATTTCAGCAGCCGTCGTTGGGAGCTCAGAGCACCAGCGAGAAGAAGCAGATCCCAGCGGTGAATACATTAGGATATGGATTGGTTTTCTCAACCCCGAATTGGAAGTGAATTTGGCAACCGGCCAGGGTTTTGCATTGGAGAGTGCTTTTCCTTCCGAGAAGGGTCAGCTTGGACTTTTGCCCTTCGCCGACGCACTCGTAGCAGTAGCAGACGACAAGTTTTCTTTCCTGTCTGCAGAGTCGGGTCACCCAGAGGACCCTGCTGTGTCCGAACGTCTAGCAAAGTTAGAAGAAGCCGTAGTCAGCATAAAAGATGCAGTGCTGCAGTTGAGCCAGAAGTCCCAGCCTCCACAGCCTCAGCCGGGAGCAAAGAGCAAAGCGACTCCAGCCCTGCGGCCTCCCGACAAGAACACCAAAGCCGCCGAAGATGGCTTGCCCGGCCTGGATCCCGCAGTTGTAAGATCAGCCCTCCAGGCCGGGATAGGACGAGACCAATTGCAGAGCCTAAGCCAGTTCCTTGGTGGGAAGAAACCAGCCGTAGGAGACGTAGCAGCTTCCAGAGGTCGGACTCCAAAGGTCCGTTTCAACGAGCTAGGAGAAGTAGACGAAGAGGATGCAGAGGGTCCCACAGCCGAGCCTGCCCTAGGAGCCCCAGCAGATGCCATGCAGGCAGCTCTTTTGAAGCTGACGACAATAGCCGAGGGTTTGACCAAAAGCCGCAAAAAGTTGTCCTTGGAAGATTGGTCAGACGATTTGCCAGCGTTACAGGATTCGTCATCCTCCAGTTCATTTGTTGGGGGAAGCTCCAGGAAGCATGCTGCCGTGCTAGCCAGCCTCCGGAAAGCCTTGAAAGAAAACCCATCCGAGCTTTATCGTGTGATGGAATCCCGTATGCTGGACGACTTTGGCTCAGCCGGGACTGGACCAGGAGAGCCCTCCAGGCCAGGCACGTTTCGAGGCTGGGCAGAGCATCGCTCTCGAATCCCGAACATCAGTGGTACTGTTCGCCTCATCTGGGCAGTTTGTGGTGCTTTGGACTCCTTGAGGGCGGGCCGAGTGCCCGAAGCCCAGGCTCGCTTGATTCTCTTGTTAGGTCAGGTCGACCAGGTGGCGGTGGACAGAGGGCAGTGGGTGTTGGCGGCGGAGGGTTCTTTGGAGGAGACACCCCCTTTTTCGTCCTTTTCTCGTCACAGCCCACCAGACTTCTACGAAGGTCAGCATACCAAACTCTGGCCGCCCGCCTGGGCAGAAGCCTTCATGCACAAGGTCCGGGAGACGGACGACTTTGTAGAGCGGAGGTCAAAATTGGGGAAGAGACATGTTGAAAGATGCGAGCCTGAAAGAGGAGCAGCCGTTGCCGAAAGCCAATCCAAAGAAGAAAGGAAAAGGAGGAAAGAAGGGTCAGAACAAGAACGAAGAGGAGGTCCCCGAGGGGGGCAACAACTGATGGTGGCCGAGACAGCTTTGCAAGTTTCCGCTGTTCCGAAACCTGACATTCATGCAAAGCAGCCTGAGACTCACCAAGCACGACATGTCCCAGGTAGTAATGCCAGTACTGTGAAAGTGGATCAGTGGTGGAATTCAGCTTTTCGTTTGAATATGCAGTTTGGAAGTACCTTTGGGTCCTTTTTACGTAGTTTTCATCGCAAACCAGCCAGCTTTGTCAATATGCAAAGTACCGCCTCTATGTGGCCAATGCCCTTGCCCTTTCCTTGGGTGCTTGTGAAGAATGGTATGGGTCCTTCTGCCAGTGGTTCTAAGTTCACGCTTCAGAAGGGAGTTAACCTTGTGGTTGCTACCTTGAACTGGTTGCACTTGCGTAGGCCCAGCACTTGCCCCCTTGAAATTTGCTTGCATGCAAAGCCTAACAAAGTTCAGTGGCGCGTTGTAATGCAGATTGAAAGGACCTTAGAGGCGTGGAATTTATGTGAGCCTGTTACAGCTGCATCCATGGGCCGCTCGGCCGCCAAAGTTGAAGACATCGAAGGAGCGATTTCAAAGCTGGGTCTTTTTGAGCAGCATGCTTGTTCCGCCTTTGAAACTTCAGCTTTTGAAAGTTCTGGTGGCCAACGTCCCGTGGTTCGTCGTGCTCCCTTTTTTAGCCCTGGTTTGCAGCGTGCGTTTGCAGGAAAAGTTTGTGGTTTTTTGCCCGGCAAAGAGATGGTTCCAGCCAAGTCAATAGAAGCCAGCAGACTTGAGTTCCGAGGCGAGCCAGTGTTTGATCCCACTCCCTTTTTGGACCCCCTAGGACAGAAGATTTTTAATCACCCCTTGCAGATGGCCATGGATCCTAGGGAGTTGTCTGAAAGCGTCCCACCTGTCCGTGTTTTTGCGTCAGAGACGGAGAAATGGGCGCTACTTCGCAAGTTGGACAAAACAGGTCGGCTAGGTGTAGTGAGATCTTCAGAGGTCCTGCATGGATTTCAGGCAGGCCTCTTCTCTGTGCTTAAGGATGGACTTCGTGACAGGTTGATCTTTGACTCTCGGCCTTTCAACTGCTTGGAATCTGTTCCTCGTCGGTGGGTTCGTTCTATGGCCAATGCTTGCAACTTGTGTGACATGCATCTAGGAAAGGATGAAGACTTGTGGTGTCAGGTACCGACCTTCGAGAGTTCTACACTCCTTCAAAGCACCGCCAGAGAGGGTCATCCGCAATGCCTTGTTGATCAGCGTCCGGCCTTGGGAAATTAGGGGGTTTAGGTGTTATCATGTTGGACTTGAAGAAGAGACTAAACCCCTTTTTCTAAGCCTCAGCACTTTAGCCATGGGTGATTCCCAAGCAGTTGAGTTAGCACAGACAGCGCATGTTGGACTTCTGCTTCAAAGTGGACTTCTTCTTCCTGACTCCCTTGTGTCCATGGGAATGCCCATCCCGAGGTCACCTGTGATGCTGGGGGTCATAATAGATGATTTAATCGTCTTTGAGAAGATAGCCCGTGGTTCAGCAATGGACTTTTTCAAACTCAGCAGCTGTGTCCTTCTTGAGCGTGCCGTGGAGGAATATACTGAGGTTGGACTTTTACCTCACCCTGGCAAAACGTTTTACGGGCAAAACCAGTGTGAGTTTTGGGGTGCGTTGTTTGAAGGAGACCGGGGTTTTGTGCGTGCCTCTCTGAAGCGTGTTGTCCCTGTCGTATTTGCCACTCTGGGCATTGTCAAACTTGGGGTCTGTACGATAAGCTTGCTGGAGGTGTTGGTTGGATGTTGGAATTCCATTTTCTTGTTTCGGCGCAGGTTGCTTAGTCTCTTCAGTGTGAGCTATGAAGCCCTTCAAAGAGCGGAAGATCGAAGGGCTGTCATCCGGCTGTCTGACGAGTTGAAAATGGAATTGCTGCTCTTGGTCAATCTGGCTCCGGTAGCTGCCACTTGCTTGCGTACGTAGGATTCTCCTTTGGTCTATGCCAGCGATGCTTCAAACTGGGGTTGGGCTGTTTGCTCTGCTGAGCTTCCTTCCGTCTTGGTCAGTGAAGTGCACCGTCACAAGCTTAGCAAACCAGTTTGGTCGAAGCTTTTGTCCCCCCTGCGTAGCTTGCAGCGCCTGAAGGGTGAGTTGTTGCCGGCAGATGAGCTTCCAGAGGGGGTCATGCTTCCCACTCACCCCCTGTTTATGGAATTAGCTTGTGCGCTCCCTTTTCATGAAGACCGAAAGAAGCCAGTCCGGGAGCGCACTCACATAAACATTTCTGAGTTGCGAAGCATGGTAGAAGCTGAAAAGATAGCAGCCCTGCGGCATTTTCCGAGCCGAATCATGAGCCTGTCCGACTCTCAGGTGTCCTTGGGGTGTTGGATTAAGGGAAGATCCTCTTCTGCTGGTTTGAACCAGGAGCTGCAACGGAGCCTTCCTGTCCATTTGGGGTGCGGCATGGTTAGTAACGGTGCCTATATTCCCAGTGAATTAAACCCGGCTGACGACCCCACGCGTCAGCAGGCAGTCCGACCTCCCAGTAAAGCCTTGCCCTCTTGGATTTTGGATTTACTTGAGGGTTCTTGCGAGGGTTTGAGCCCCAATTGGACTTCTTTTGATGCGTGGTTGGACTCATATGGATTTAGTGCTCAGTCGCTGTCCGGTCTGCCTTCTTTTGAGGAGTTAAAAGCCCCCTGGGTTGAAAAGCCTTGGAGCCGGGCGAGCCGCCACAAATGTTTCTTGCAACGCGCCCGATCAAAAAGCCTGGTTAATTCGGAGCCTTGTCCTGCCTTTTCTGTCGCTTCAGGACTCCAAAAGAATTCGAGTTCTGAGACTGTCGTTCCTCCCAGAATGCCCTCCGCCAAAGAGCTTGGAAGAAAACCTTTGAGCTCTGCAGCTGTGGACTTTTTGAAGCTTGTCCCCTTTAGTCAGTTTTTGTTTCCCGAGTCTTGGCATGTGACTGATAGCAGTTGGCGTCCCGATTTCCCTGGGTATTTGGACTTGTACTCCGGGGCCAAAGGTGTAGCAAAAGCCGTGTGTCGTGATGGGCCCATGTGGTGCATAACCTTTGACACCGCCGATGACCCTAGCCAGGATCTAAGTTTAGCCAAAAATAGGAAGTTGGTAGAGGACTTGATAGCAAGTGGTTGCGTTGAAGCTCTTGGGGCCGCCATTTTCTGTAGCAGTTTTTCCCAAGCCGTCCGTCCGGCGGTGAGGAGCCGCACTTTCCCTGCTGGACTTCCTGAGTTGAGTGCGCGCATGGCGGAGAAAGTGTCCGAAGGCAACTCTCACTCCAAGTGGTTGGCCAGCCTTGTGTCTCTTTGTCTGTTGCTTGGAATTCTGTTTTGGGTTGAAAACCCTGATGGTTCCTTCCTGTGGCTTCAAGAAGAATGGCGAGTGCTTGGTGCCAACGTTTATGGTTCTTGCTTTCGGTTGGACTACTGTGTCTGCGGCACTGCATGGCGGAAACGAACCCGTTTCTTCACCAACCTTCACCTGCGTGGTCAGTCTGCGTTTTGTTCTCGGTTGCACAAACATGTCAGGCTTGTAGGATGGAGCCGGGCGCATCGCATGTCGTGGACGCGTGCAGCTCAGGAGTATCCCCGTCGACTGTGCCAATGGATTTCTGCTGCAATCCTTATTGACACTGGCCTTCTTCCGGGTCGAGCGAAGCTTGATGTAAATGGCATGGCCAAACAAAGTCCAGGTAGGATAGGAGAAGCCAAGAACCCCGGGCCTCGATGAGCCCGTAGTGCACCTGTTGCCAGACACGCGGCAGTCCTTTCTCAAGCTCTGCTGGTGGAGCCAACCACCGAGCTCCTTGGTTCGCGTGTTTGGGCTCAGTTTAGAACCTGGTGTTTGAATGGACTTTCTTCCGAAGACTTTGATGCCTTTTGTTCTGTGCCTGACCTTTTGGCCGAGTTGGTCGAATGCTTTGGTTTGGACTTGTATTCTCGTGGCGGTTCCCTTTACCTTCTCCGTCACTTGATCACTGCAATCCAACGTTGGAATCCAAACTTCCGTCCTCACCTGGGACGCTGCTGGCAATTGGTCTGTCGTTGGGAAAGCCTTGAACCGATCACACATCGGGTCCCCTGCCGCTAGTAATTTTTAGAGCCATGGTTAGCGTTGCTATACTCTGGGGTTGGAAGAGATTTGCTGGAGTGATGGTCCTGACTTTTGGCGGCATTTGTAGACCAGGAGAACCTTTACAAGCGGTAAGGAGAGACTTGTTGCTGCCGAGGGATTTGGTCGTCGAAAGCCCTGACATTTGCTACTTGTGTATTCGATCTCCCAAAGGTCGGCGAAGAGGCATAGGCAGGGTTCAGCATGTGAAGATTTCTGACAGGTGTTACACGAAGTTTTTGGATCATGTTTTTGGACGACTGCAGCCTGAGCAGCCCTTATTTCTGGGTTCACCGGGCACCTTCCGGCGGCGTTGGGACGCTATCTTATCTGCCTTGTCGGTACCTTCGAAGTTGGCACTGACATCAGCTTCAATGCGAGCTGGTGGAGCAGTGCAGAGCTACCGGAGTGACGAGGAGATTGCCAAGATTTTGTGGAAGATGCGTCTGAGAAACATGGATACTCTACAGCATTGCCTTCAAGAACTTGGGGCGGTTTCAGTCTTTTTGGAACTTCCGTCTAGCAGCAAGCAAAAGATTGAATGTACAGCGCAGCTTTTCAGTTTGCTCTTGGACTTAACCTAGCCTTCCCTGACGGTCGCAAACATGTGAAGGATACGCGGCTCTTCATTTCATGCCGTGCCTGGTTCCATCCGAAGAGTGGCTCTGGTGACCTTCTCCTTTCAACTGCATATCGCTACTTTCAGCGGTGTTGGGAATGCTACGTTGAGTTTGAGTCCGCGGACGGTAGAGACCCTTCAGTGAAGCTGGGCGATGGGATAAAGGCTGGAGTGAGCAGGGTGTTTAACATGCCTTGGATGTTCACCACACTGTGTACGATTCAAGCTGTCGGGCCCACCACGCCCATCCCTGCTCTGGTGACCTTCTCCTTTCAACTGCATATCGCTACTTTCAGCGGTGTTGGGAATGCTACGTTGAGTTTGAGGCCACCATCTGTCCGCGGACGGTAGAGACCCTTCAGTGAAGCTGGGCGATGGGATAAAAGGCTGGAGTGAGCAGGGTGTTTAACATATATATAAATACATAATATAATATAAAATAATATAATAAAATATCATATCAAATAATATCATTTAATATGATATAATATAATAAAATACAATATAATATAATATAATATAATAAAATTCATTTTTGGAATTTCTTTCAACCATTTGGTCAAAACGCCAGAAGCTCACAAATGGGATTCAGGGGACAACAACTAGCATATTCACACCAAAACGGGGGATTATATAATAGATTATATATACCATCAAAAACTTATGTCTATATTTCTAATAGCGACGGACTGAAACTTAAAATGCCTTGGACCAATAAAATGTTGAAAGGGTCTCCAAATATGGCGATAATCATGCGCACTTAGAATGCCGCCCCATAGTGCCCCAGAAAAAGTCCAGCTCGCAGGTTTGAATTTTTGGTGATGGAGGCATTCATAGGCATTCTAAGTGACCCCCAAAAATGAATTTTTCGGAGGTATTCTAAGTGGCACTGACAAAAAATTGGCAAACACGGAGGCATTCTAAGTTTCAGTCCGTCGCTATCGTCATAAAAGGTATCAGATATTGGAAAGAGAACTTTAGTAAAACGATGGGGCAATTTTCCATTCAAAAAAACAACGGCCGTCTAAAAGTGTTGTCTTAATTTCAATATGGTTCTGCATCAGGCATTCTTGTGGGTTGAAACAACTATATATTTTAAAATATTTCAGTTCCCTAATTTTGAACAAAACAAACATTTTTTCCATTGCGCCGAAGGAGAGAAGTCATCATGCTGTCGACCAAGTTTGACCTCACAGTTCCTGTTTTGAACGTTTCCAAGCAGATGCTTGCCAATCTAGTTCTGATAGCTGAGAACATTGCCAAGCGCCTTCGCATACACCACGACTAGCTAGTGAATCTGCAATGTCGCGTGAACCGACTTGCCAATGAGTAGCAACAAAAATCGAGCAACCACTGTTCAAGGCGGATCATTGTAACCTGCTCATGACGTCTGAAGAAACACCATCCTTCGAAATATCTTGTGGTCCCATCTATGAATTTCCGTCCATTGGCGACAGGGGTTTCGAAACATATCCATAAAAAATAAACAACATTCCTTGAAAAGTGGCAACGTCCTTCATAAACGTTCACTCATGTTGTCAGTTGGTGCAAAACCCAAGAAACTGTGTGACGAGTTGGGCCAGAGGAGAATGCCCCTAATTTTCGCAGTGTTGGATTGCAAACAGCTCTTTGCTTGGAATGCAGTGACCGAAGTCCAGGCTGCGTGCACCAGCAAACCTAAGTACCGGCAGTGCCTCCAGCTCAAGGAATCGTCTAATCCCAGAAGCAGCAGCAGTATCTCTTCTTCGCACTGATAGATGTTGCTTTCCTTGGATGGGCAAGTCATTTGGGCACACATTCCCAGGCACTAGCGAGGGTGCAGGATGCTTTCAAAGAACACTCCAACAGACCAGGTGAAAGATGGACCGTCACCTGCCGTCTGAGAACTGGTGCAAAGAGAGAGAATGCAGCTACAAGATCCCGAGGCTGACGCCACCTGTGTTGATCCGTGTTGACAAACTGCCAAGTGTTCGGATGTTCTCTTCGAACTGCCAGTTTGCCCAACATGGAGTGATACTTGGATGCTATGAGCAAGTCCATTTTTTGGGATGTATAAATACTGTATAAGTGATATCCGCCCAAAATTGGATGGTTGATTTTGAACATGATCATTCTATGCTGTCTATACTATTCAAAAACCGTTTGCTTCTCCCATCAGCGCTGAGCTGTTGGAGCTGTCTGGCTGCCACTGTCAATGCTGTCACTGGCCAAAGACTGCAACAAAATGTTGCAGCATATGTAGCAATCAGACACAAGGTGCCCGAGGCTACTCTGCTCACTTTGTCCTTTGAGGCCTTTTGTGCACCCACAAGTTGAAGTCTCTGTGGGGAGAGACGTTATTTCATTGAATTCTCTTTGCGCTTGTTGTGGCCAAGACGCTTTCGGTCGGGCCAGGTTCCCTGAATTAGTGGAAGTGGTTTTGCAGGAAGGCAATCGAAGACACACATTGAAACTGACACAAGCAGAGTGTCAAAAAGAGGTTGATTCACGATGCTATTGGGCCCCACAGATAGCCACATCATCATCCACAACCGTGAGAACCAGTGCAAGGAAAGGCAGCTGGCAAGTCGGCAAGGCAGTTGGTAAGGCAGTTGGGAAGACAGTTGGGGAGAAGGGGGGAGGCAGAAAAAGATTGCAAGGTCGTTGAAAGTGCAATGGCGACCGGCATGGGTTTCCGCAAGTCTCTCCATGTTTCTCCCTGGCAGAAAAACTGGGTTTGACTAAGTGGAGATGATTTAGACCTGGAAAGGGAACATAATTCTATGCGTCTAGAAAGTGTCTTCATGCAGGTCAAATCAAGATACATTTCGGACAATCATGCAAGTAGAGCTTTGAGATGCTTTAAGAAGAATTGCGCATGTTGTCATTGGTCCAGAGGACTCAAAGTCACCTTCGGCGTGAGAAGCAGTGCGAAGAAAGGCGGTTGGCAAGGTTTATGCCGAGGAAGCAGAATAGTTCAGGGCAATTGAAAGTACAGTGGCGGTGGGCAGGATTTTTCCGCAGGTCTATCTGTGTCTACCCCTCTGGGTCTAGAATGTGAATTCTTGCAAGGGCTCTCAAAGATTCTTCTGTCACTTGCTCCCAAAAGAAAGCCAAAGCAGCTTCAACATTCACCGTTAGAACAGGTTTAAAATCTCACCTATTGTTGTGCTTGCGGACGTGTCGATGGCCAGCTGCGCCCTGTGAGAAGCAACCCGAATCAGACACATCAACGCAGCTTGGCAGACTCATTTTGATTGTTGGCCTGAGCTCTGAAAGGGACCTGTGATTTATCTCGTGCCCCTTCCCATCCGAGCATACGTGCCAGTTCACGCTTCAGCAGCTTGCGTGCAGCAATCGCTGGTTGCGAACACATGTTGCGAGCAGTAGTGACCACTAGGAGTGCGATCTCAAAATCAGGCTTGAGCTTTTGCATCAAGCTGCCTTCACAGCAGCACCAGTGCCGGCAAAGAGTTCATTGCTTGTGGTAGAAGGTCCCACAGCAGGGGTCCGAAACTGATTGGCGCCTTGATCCCCGTCACATTTGAGTCCGAACTGCAATGTGGAGTTCACACAGAATCCGATTTGTGTGTCGGGATGAGATGCATTCGAATATCAAATTAGCTCCAGTTGAAACAAGTCAAAGTCTTCTTGAGAAGTGATATGTCTCTAAAGTCTGCAAGCAAAGTGTCACGTTATACAAGCAAAGTGTCATGTTGTACAGCAACAGCTTTCAACAGTTATAAGCGAAGTAAAGCGTCATCTTTGGTGCAACAGCTTGCTGCCAGCAGGGCCACTGACCATCAGAAAATGCCTGGTCTACAGCAGTCCCTGGGTAAAGAGAGATTGACTCACATCGCTATTGGGCCCCACAGATAGCCACATCATCGTTCGCAAAGGCAGTTGGCAAGGCAGAAACATATTGCAGGGTCATTGAAAGTACAATCGTGGGGCAGTGGTTTTCTGCAAGTCTATCCATCTTTATCTTTGGCCAAAACATATTGTTGACTAAGTTAAGACG